ATTAAATTTCAAAAGTAAAAAAAAATGTTTTGCTTCCTTTCAAGGTTCACACCAATATATAATTACAAAGTATGAAATTTATGAAAAAATTACTCGCAAGTTACTTTTCCCTCGTCAAAAATTTTCTAAATTTCTTGATCTTTTCATCACAGCAATAGTTTTGAAACATCTGATACACGCGTAATATCTTTCTCCTATCTTCCATAAAACACGAAACGCGTAATTACACATCTTGTTCCTCAATTATCTCACGACAAAACCGAGTTACGTTAGCATCGGCGAGAAACCGAATAAAAGTATCCAGAGAATGTTCCACAGTTCTCTTAATCTTGACTAGAAACCCTAGTATATTTGTCGAGCTCGGAGAGTGGTAGAGTCGTTAAAACAAATAAGAAGAAAAACGCCGAAGAGGAAGAAAAAAAAAAACTATATTATTTCTGTGCGACACATCACCGTGGCAAATGTTTGACGACGATAAGAAGCAAAGGTATCTCACGACGCTGCATATATCATAGCGCGAAATATCGGCCGTTATAAAACAGTCGAGATAACGAAATTTCACGCGGTAATGCTCGGTAAACGCCAGTCTCGTTTTATCGTTTCAAAAACGGTGACTAATAATTTCCACGTTTTCCGCGTCGACCGCACACTTTTTCCGCATCCTCGTAAATTCACCTTTCACCCCTCGTGAACAACGCACACGCACCGGCCAGGTCACCGACGAATTTGTCACCTCCGTGGCCGGCTGCTAATAATTCACACCTTTCGCACCCAGCGACGCTATTGTTACCTTTCCACGACACACTCCAGGCCTCTTGTTAACTTTGAATTTCGTTTGATATCGCGGATTCGTGTCTATCTTATCTCACGTCGAGAGGTTTCGAATGTGACGCTCCAGGCAAACATCGGAGATTTCTGAGGTAGACGTTCTCACGTCTAAAATTAATCACTTCTTCTCTCGAGTGGTTTTCAATTGAGACGTATGAAAATTTCGACGAATTCCCTTATCTTTCGCTTAACCTTGCCGCGGTCCTCCGTTCGATTTTATCTACACTTCGGGAGTCTGGGTCAAAAGTGACCCGAGTACGAGAAATTCGCGCGTTTAACTTTATAGAGTAACCAGAGGATCTGGAAGATGTAGAAATGTGTTGTTGCATCTTTTGTAATATCAAGGTTTTGATATTTGCAAGGTTGTTTATTGTAGAAAAACGATACATTGTGTTTCAAATTATTTATTTACGGAAGTTCTTGAAGAGATATGAATGTAATGGGTGAGAAACGACCCGAAGACAGAATTTCGACGAATTTTTTTTAATTTGTCATTTAAGATCGAGCAGAATAATTTTGTTTTTTGGGAAAAAGGGGGCACATTTGGTATTGACACTTGATACGTGTTCAGTTTAACGAATTACAGTCTGTACGAAATAAAACAACAGCTCAAGGCCCTTTCTGTTAACACTATAGTCAACCTCTTTTATTTATTATTGTACTGTGTGTACGAAAATATCCTCTAAACTATTCTCAAAAATAGATGGAACATAGAGTACGGTCTGTCAGCGAGTTTACGATTTCCGTCTTCGAAATAAACACTGGTGGGAAGTAAATAGAAAAGGAAGCGGTGAAAAATGGGGGAAAATGGAGTGGCAAATTTCGCTTAAATAGTTCCATTGATTTCGAATAAACTCTACCACCTAACTGTAACAGCGTCTACAAATGATCTCGAACGGACACGAGATTATTCATATTCTCCAACGAAATAAAAAACAAAACCTACAATTACATACTTATATTAAAAAAAAAAAAAAAGAGTATCGAGTACAAAATCAATGCGCAAAAAGGTCGAACACGAAATACACTAGCATTCGCCACCTGTTTGCTCGTGTACAGAACGAGTCCACGCATTTTCGCCCTTAACCCTAGAGCGGTCTTCGGGTCTTTTTTGACCCACCGCCTTTTTATATTTTTAGTCATTTTCGCTTAACATTATTTTAAACGTTTATCGTCTAGGTTCATATGTCGCGTTGGAAAGAAAAATGATTACACATAAGGTCTTAGGTCCTTTTTCACCTAAAAGTCTTAAGTGTACAGTCGAAACGAAGACCGCTCTAGGGTTAACATCCCACAGAACTGTGCAAGATCACGTACCAAAAAGCTCCGTGTCCGTTACAACAAATTCCAGAGCGTACCAGACAAGCAAGTTGCAATTGACCGCTGTGTATCATCTTCCAGTAGTCGCATAAATGACTAATACGAGCAGAACGACCATGATCCCGAGTTAATATCGCTCGATTGTGCAACTATTGACCCAGAAATAGTTGCTGGCTCGAAGGCGAACAGTCTCCGGCCAATCTCGACTGTTAACATACCCTTTTGCTCGATGCTTTTCGTTCTCCGCGCACGTTCGTCCAAAAAGAAGAGGAAAAGGTTGGACGACAGAAGGGCGTCGGATATTTCGGTACACCATTCAAAGCCATTCGCGTAGGGCTGGTGAAATGGAGAAAGTAGAAGATAGGAGTGCACGGGGAAAACTGTGAACGGTCAACAGGGAGAATCGACATTCTGCGGGATATCTCGATCGCGTGCGTTAAATCGGATGATTCATTTTCCCCTGCGAAAGATGAGTAACTGTTCTAAAGTTATCGTCTAACGAAAGGTTGGTTTACGACACTAGTGGAGCACAGCTCGGTATGAATAATGCGTTCCGTTCGGAGCGATTAAAAGAAAACACTCGCGTTGATTAAAACGATTCGCCGTTTTAACTGGTTCATTGCGCCGCGTGATAGAGCACGTAACAGGAATATTAATGTGTCTTTGGTAGAGAGTGTTGGGTCCCTTATTCTTGACGTTCTTGGTATTAATATTAATCCTGACTTGATCTAACTTAACGCGAGTGTCCGTGTTTTACACGTGTACAAGTACTGTACAAAGTGCAATTTTTTCAAATTATTTTCTTTCATTTTCCATATTGCGCTACTCTTTCTATTCTACGGCAAAAATTTAAACGAGAAACTTATTTCTACACGCTCGGTAAGAATAAATAAAATTGATCATTTCTGGCGCATCAAGTTGAGAAAAATGTGAGTGTAATGGGGTTAAATTGTCTTCTTTTTTGCAATTTTGTTGAATTATTTTCTTTCACTTTCCACATTGCGATATTCTTTCTATTCTGTTGCTGAATTATAAATAAATGAGAAACTTATCTCTATACGCCCGGTAAAAGAAACCAGAAAATTTTGCACATCGAATTGAGAAAAATGTGAGCGCACGGGGTTAAATTGTCTTTTTTTTTTTTAGTTTCTCTTTTTTCTCTTCGTTAATATTTCAATATCATAATGCACAAACATGGGTACGTAATATCCATGACACTCGAGCTGCAAGCTCGATTCATTGCCATAAAACACGAACGATATCCGTCATAATCACAGATTAGAAGATACGCAGAGGTACCCAACGAGTTAAGTAACAACGAGGTATTGTTAATCGGCGAAGAGGATCGAACTGTTGAGAAAGAATAATAGGCGAACGCGTAACGTTTTACCGTTTTCATTGTGAAACGAAAGTATTCCCCCCGTATGACGGAAGCTCATTTGGGAAACACAGCAAGTACGCGTGATGCATACATTCATGATATCATGATTGGCTGAGTGCCAACCGTGTCTATACGATCGTCTACTTTTACTCGAGTTTATCGTATCCCTCGGCCATTATCCGCCGTCGTTTTTCAACTTTTCTCCGATCGGGAGCCCCGAAAAATTCTCCGATTCGAGAACCTCTTACGCGGAAACATCCCCGAATAATTCCTCCAACGATTCACTTTCTTTTCCTTTAAGTTAACAGGAATGTTAATCGATGAAATTCCTTTTTCTTCTTTTTACAGTCAGAAGTGATAGCCGATAGTTTTGACAGAATTTATGAATCACGAGTAACGATAACGGGCGTTACACGAGAGAAATGGGGATAAACGTGGGGAGAGTTTAATCGGCCGAGTATCGTGTCGCTTTAACACGAAACCGGCGGGAGTTCGCGATGTAACGTTTCTCTCTCATCGATCGCGCGTCACAACGAACTCTTTTTAGTGCCCTCAGCCCCTCCGAGATATTGATCCTGACAAATTGGTGAGATTATCATACGCGATGATTCACTAAAGCCGCTGTAAATCTGTTTAATCGCTCAAGTGTCAGGCAGAGAAATTATAATTCAGGGGAGAAATTAGAATTCGAAAGGGTTGACAATCCGGCGATCTGGATAATTAGCATAGTCTGTGAGTCAGAAAATTGCGAGGAAAAACCCCTTTGCCTTGCAACGACGAGTCGTACACTCGTGGTGCGTTAATGCAAATTAATTACCGCAACGATGTGACAACTTCGCTGCACTTTAACCCCAATTTCAGTTTCAACTTAAGATCGACGATTGGTAAATTGCAAATTCTATGCAATACTTGGATTATCTTTTACTTAACGCTACATGAAAACAGCTAACAGCGATTAAGAAATCGCAAGGCAGGCGGTTAAGTAGACAATAGACGTGCTAATTTGTATAGTTCAGCTGGTAGGTGAATCACGAGAGACTAATGATCTAACAGTTTGAATACATCAGGCAACAAGTGTATCCTAAGAATGTTCTTATTACTGTTCATGTGAAACTAATATTAACCTTGGTGCGTTCAAGGTCTTTGAATCATTCTTGACTTAATGTGACAATTGGGTCAAAGAAGACTTTATGTGTAACAAATTTTGTTACCAGCACACTGTACGAACCTAGACAACACACTTTTAACATACCGTTAAGGAAACGTAATCTTGGAAACAGCAAAATTTATTAAAAAAATAAAAAGACGGGTCAAAAAAGACCCGAAGACCGCACTAGGGTTAAACGTACTCCAAGAAGAAGTCAACGTCCTCGTCGACCAGTTAACCAACTTACAGATCGAAAGCAGAGACGACGAACAGTAAATACTGTATAACAAACCTAAATATACGAATAATTTAAGAATGAAGTACCTTGAAGAGCACCAGGAGTCATGTCTTCGCATAGTAGAAGTTTCATCAGCTGTCTTCACGTTTCGTCACTGAAAAGTCCTACATATATTTCGTAATCTCGATCTTGTTCAATCGACCAACACCGAAATCATCATGTCCAACCGGTCACAGAGTAACATCGTTCGAGAACCGATGGAAAAATCGCGAGCACACTTTGGTAGAACAATGAAAACGAAAACAGGAACGATTCTTCACAACGTTCACCATTCACCGTTCAGATAAAAAAAAAAACAAACTTCTTCCCGTTCCCTCTTCTCTGTCCATTGATCAGAAATACGTGCAAGGGTTCCGGTTGAAGCAGCATTGTTCATATGGCACGCCTTGTAATCATAAAAGCGAATTGATCCCAGTGGGTCAAGGTTGCGAGAAATCCTTCGCAGCGATCGACCACCTTCGCCTAGTAGATTCAAGGTGTCGAGAGGCGGCAAACGAAATCACCGACGACTTTCGAAACACCACGTTCCTCCAGGCCACCTTCCTCTTCGGTCTCTAGATCCCAGAGCGGCGATTTTCAACGTTCCTCCGACGTTGTCGCGGTGATCCTGTCGATCTCTATCTAACAGACGTTCTTTCATATGGAAATAATGACACCCATGGAACACCCGAAGTTCGACGACCGTTTCAACAGACAGAGAGAGAGAGAGAAAAAGAGAGAAGAAGAAAAAGAAAAAGAATATCTTTCGAAGCAACGGCTGACCTTGCGTTCAATTTTAACCGGTTCGTGGTCACTCGACTCACATCCGTCTCTTCGAATAACTGAATAGAACAATTCACTCCGAGTCGTTGGACAGTTGATCTAGTCACGAGATTTATAAGACTTTTGTAGATCGTATCGGAGTCGCACGAAAATCTTTCGCGTTAAGAACTGTACAGAAGTTTGGTTAAGCACAGGCACTCACAAATGTTACAAATTTTCAATTTTCGTTTCTTACGCTATATATGTGTGTGTATATTTCGTTTTCAAATTTTTCGTAGAATGCAGAAAGGGAGGCACTTGACGAGATCGAGCACGGACCGAAACTTCGTTTGGCGAATAGCGCGATTATCAATGAGCGAACGGAAACGAAAGAATGAAATCGTAAGAGAGGTAGGAGTAGCGAGGCGCGCGCGTGAGTACGCGGTTCGCGGCACGGACCCGCGTGTACCGCCGAAAGGATAGAAGCGTTATGAAGCGTGGGCAACGATCGGAAAGGCAGTCCGGTCGGAAGCTTACGCCATTCTCGACTGACGGGCAAAACCGCGAGGCGGCATTTCTCCATCGGTGCGCGCCCCGATCGAGGAAAAAGCTTCGCCAAGGTGGGGGAAGACCACGCCGGGCAGCCAGGGAAACGCAAAAGTTCCGCGCGACACGCAACGTTTTTAATTGGGTCTCTCCTCTACCTTTTCCCTTCCCCTGTCTTTTTTTTCTCGCGTTCTAGATTATTAGATTCGATTTTTTCTCTCTGCTCTTTGAACGAACTACGCTCCTTCCGTGCGACGTGAGAGTACTGTCGAATGAGCGTTTGTACGGAAAGGCGGTTGAATATTTTTAGACTGTTTTGTTGCACTTCTTTCTGTTTCCTTTTTCTTTTTTTTTGAATTTATTTTATTTGCAAAATTTTTTGCTGGAAGTTTTTACTTTTGATATTTTATTCATTCTTTGGTAGATGTGTGCGGTGATATTAATTGTTTAGTGTTTTAGTTACTGCGTTGGAAAAGTTTGGAGGTTGTACGTAATTTGTGTTTGAAGTGGAATCTACAGTAAAAGTTGAGGTTGATGTTTGACTTCTTCGTTTCCTTTTTTCTTTCAAGAAGGAGAAATGGGAGAATTTATTCGATGTGAAAATTGTTTTACCGCAAGTTTTTATTTGTCTTCCTCAATTTTGATATTTTATCATTTATCTTTTCTCGTGGTAGATATGTACATGGTGACATTAATCGTTTAGTGTTTTAGTTATTGCATTAGAAAAGTTAGAAGGTTACACGTAATTTGTATTTAAAGTGGAATCTACAATAAAAGTTGAGGTTAAAATTAAAGTTTATTGCAAGTATAACCTAGTACGTATTACCATACCTTGACTATAATCTGTGCCACGAGTGACTCGGTGTTTTATACGGCAAGAGGTGTGTTACATATTATATCATTTCTCATTTTTTTTTCCTTCTGATAATTAGCGCATGTTTGAATAAAAATACGGCTGAGTTTTGTTCGTAAAGAAAAGTGACGTTCGATAGGGGAAATTTTTAATTGGAAGCTTACTTGTTCCCTTTTTCAAAAATTTTTATTTTCACCATGTTTTCCATTCTGTCAATTTCAATTGATTTATATTTGGGCAAACATAATTGCGGATATTTTCGACGTTTCGTTGCTTGCGCACTTTTAGTGACGCGCGACATTTCACAAAAACAAACGCGACATCTTTTTTCGTAAAGATGACACACCTCGCTTCGACTTTTTCCTCGTCGAACTAGATACAGAAAAATACCGATCGATGAATATTTAATGGAAAAATGAAAATCACCAGGCAAATGAAACGGTAATAGACGGCGTCGAATTGGTATCGTCGATTAATTGCGACGGAATTCAAATGGCTCGGTGAAAATAAAGGAAATGGAATGAATAATCGCGCGTGACCTCGATATTCAAAGAACAAAAGTGTTTCGATTAAGTTCTCCATGGGACTCCAAAAGCGTAATCGCAGCTACTTTCGGTCGAGCTCCGTCGTCGAACTAATGAGGATGTGCTTCCGCGAAGAACTTGCGTTATTCGTGTACATAAATCGCGCTTCGCGTTAAGCAGATTATATTTTATAAAAATGTCTGACATTTTGCAATTCTACACCATGAAATGTCTACGAAACTTTCGAATTTCTTTTCAAATTTCCCGCCATACCTGTGACGAATGTTACAAGAATGATTATTAGAAAAAAACACTTGGTATTTGATTTGAAGAAGAGGATCCTCGACGAAAAAAGGGAAAACAGAGTTATTCGTGTACATTTTACAATTCTACACTATCGATATCTACGAAACATTCGAATTACTTTTCAAATTTCCCGCCATACCTGTGACGAATGTTACAAGAATGATTATTAGAAAAAAACACTTGGTATTTGATTTGAAGAAGAGGATCCTCGACGAAAAAAGGGAAAACAGAGTTATTCGTGTACATTTTACAATTCTACACTATCGATATCAACGAAACATTCAAATTACTTTTCAAATTTCCCGCCATACCTGTGACGAATGTCGTAACACTGTTTATTAGAAAGAAACACATGGTATTTGATTTTAAGAAGAGGATCCTCGACGAAAAAAGGGAAAACAGAGTTATTCGTGTACATTTTACAATTCTACACTATCGATATCTACGAAACATTCAAATTACTTTTCAAATTTCCCGCCATACCTGTGACGAATGTTACAAGAATGTTCATTAGGAAGAAACACATGATATTTGACTTTGCAAAGAAGATCCTCGACAAAAGAAAAAGAAAGAAAAAAGCGTGTTTACACTATAAATAGAAGGAATTAGGATATACACGGGCTCAGACACCTTTACGAGCTAACAATGGTTCGCAATGCTCATGAGACCATTTCTAAGCAGGGCCGTTAACGGCGCCAGTGACATTTTACAAATGCCACGATACGACATTTTCGAGTACGCGTTTGTCCTAAATTGTTATGATATGTCAGCGTGGTGTCGATATATATTCACCGTCGAAAATTTCTTACCGACGGACGTCGCTGAAACGTCGCACACGCCGGTCAGAGGAAATAAGAAATGTCACATCACCCGGTATGGCGCTTCTAAACTGACGCGACACGCGTTCATTAAAATTGCAGACGCCGTTGCGTCCTCCTCGGATTCATTATACTGCCCTCCTTTAAAATCCTCCTTGATAAAAATTTTTCATTTTTCACCCTATTTTCAAGTATTTCGAATTTCACGTGTTCTTCCACTTTTCTGAGCAAAGTGGAAGAAATAGAATTTCCTACGTGCTTTTACAGAGCTCTAGAAACAGTCTAATAATTTAAAATTTAAAAAAAAAACTCATTTTTCTGGGATGTTAAAAAGTAATATTTACAAAAATAGTGATATTTTATCGGATCTGGTCTTCTCATTATACTGCTCTCCTTAATAAAAATTTTTCACTTTTCAGAGCGTTTCGAAATATTCGGAATTTCACATATTTTTCACTTTTTAAGTAAAAATGAAAAAGT